AGCCATTGGATATAAGATCTGATGTCGCTACTGCCTTTTAGCTAAGCTAATCTAATCTGTGAACACTGACTCAGACAGAAAGAGACGAGACCTTCGCTAAACGTTCAGCTGTTTCCGTAAATGGCGTCACCATGGCAACAGCGTCACACGTTGCCCAAAGCGATCATCATCAGAGCCACCTGACGGCTCACCTGGTTCGAGATGAGGTCCTCGCAGACAGACAGCGCCATCTGGATGGCGTTGGGTTTGTGCGTGACGGAGATGGCGTTCATCTTGAACTTGTCCTTCCCGTACAGCGCGTTGGCCTGAGTCACCGCCTCCTTGAACACCTGCTCGTAGCGCTTCTGGCTCAGCACGGCGCCCACGTTCACCTGGCGGGGCTCGCAGCCGCACAGCGCCACCGAGCAGCACTGCAGCACCGCCAGCAGCAGCAGGCCGCGGGGCAGCACTGGGGCAGGAAGAGAGGGGCAACAAGGGGGGAGGACAGNTCAAAGTTCACCAGAGAACATGAACAGAAGCCTGATGGATGCTGGAGAACATCCTCTGGTCAGATGGAGATCAATGTGTTGGGCTCACATGGAGTCCAGATGTTTGGTGTGAACCTGACCAGGACCACCACAGTGGATGCATGGTCCTGCCAGTGAAGCACGGAGGTGGCAGCATCATGATGTGGGGCTGCATGAGGGCAGAAATGAGTGGACTCTGGTCTCCTCCATGTATTTGTATTAAAGTACGTGTAAAGTGGTAGTTTTTAATCAGAGACGATACTCCACTGTTCAACCTAGAAGTAATCTGATTACTGTCAGAGGATGCAGGATACAGCTGGTTTGTACTGTAAATCCTGCCATACGTACATTCAGATCAACTGAGCTATCACTGTTACCAGTAGGTCTCCCACTCTGTGCAGCAGCGCCCCCTGCTGTGTGGACACCACTGTCTACAGTCTCATTCACACAAGCTACAAATGCAGCTCTCAGAATTAGCAGCAGCTTGTCAGCTACAGATACGTGACGTTAGAAGTTTACACGAGCTGCTGCTGTTTCATAGTTTGCATAGAAATACAGGACAAACTGTGGCTGAGCCTGAGACCAACTTAGACAACAAAAAACCAACAGTGTGTATGTTTACTTTGGTGTTTCCATGAGAAGTCACTGAGGATCATCAGGAGGAAAGAGGTGATCTTTGCCTGAACTCTACGTTTCCTGGCTGCAGGAAGTCGCTGCTCGCAGTGACAGAAACCAGACGTGACGGACAGACAGCCGGTTTAACGGAGACGCAGGTCGACAGAAGCAGCTGAGATGTGTTTGAACGACTCCGATCTCCGTCAGAGTCGATGAGAAACCGGACAACAGACGGAGGTGAAGAACTGACAGGATGACATGGACGGACGGACAGACAGACAGAGAGAGAGCAACAGCAGGAGAAGAAGAAGAACTGACGATAAGACTACAGAAAAAGAAGAGAAGAAGAAAAAGGAATCAAACCTCCACCAAGAGAACATTTATCTTCTCAAATAAACTGATGGAAAACCACGAGACATTCAGGAGCTGCAGCTCTTCAGGGTCAAAGACTTGAGACCAACAGGTNGTCATCGTTCTGATCGTTTTGTGCGACATCAGGACAAAGTGAAGGTTCAGAAATGTTTAGAAAACTTTCAAAATGAGGATTCAGGAAGCTGCTCTTCACAATAAAGTGTCTCATTATTGATAATAATCATGTAAAATCAGAACCACAGCGAACACGACTGGAAAGACACACAAAGCAACACCGAGCTGCACACGACAACAAGAAACACAAAACCAGAGTAAAACAAACACACAGCCAACTCAAAGAGACACAAAACAACAAGTAAACAGTGTTCAATGACCTCAGACACACAAAGCAACACAAACATGAACACAAAGTGATGCAAGATGACAGCAAATAGACACACAACAACCACACAGACACACAAACCAGCAGCCCAGAGTGAACACTAAGTGACAGAAATAGATGCAGCGTGACGGCAAAGAGGGAAACCGAGCGACGACAAAGACCCACAACCAGCCACAGCGACACCGAGCCAAACAGAGACACAAAACCACCACAAATACCGTAAAACAACCACAATATGCACACAGAATGTATACACAACACACAACAAGACGACAAATGTTCACACAGAACATTTAAAACAAATCAACACAAACACACAAAAGATGACGACAAAGACACACACAATCAATGCCAGTGACAGCTGATGCAGCGACAACTCAGAGACACAAAACGAACACAAACAGGTGCAAACACCACGAAGGAACACAAAGACACACAACATGGACAAAACCGGACACAAAGAGTAAAGAGAAGAAAGTAGAGAAGCAACGACACACAAACTACACACAGCGGCACACACACAACACGGAGAGAAAGAAGAACCAGGGAGACACACAACTGAACAACAACCAAACATGACCACAGAAACACAACAACAATATAAACAACAACAACATAAACAACAACATCAACACAACAAGTCCACCATGTACAACCACAGACACACACCTGTGGTTGTGTGTCTGTGGTTGTGTGTCTGTGGGTGCAGCTTTCATAACGTGCCTCTCATTAAAGTGCAGTACCAGTACACAGCGGTACACAGCGGTACACAGAACCATGTAGTACTTCCTGTCAGTACTGCAGTAGCACAAGTACAGTAACTGTAGTGAAGTAAAAGTACTCCGTTACTCTGCAGGATGAAGCTGATTGGATCAGAACCTGTTTGGAAACAAACACTCACTGATGCAGCTGCAGATTCTGTCGGTTCTGGTTCTGTCGGTTCTGGTTCTGTCGGTAAACTGCGTCGTTCTTCGCTCTCCTGTTGATCTCACGTCTGTTCTGTTTCCTGGCCGTGCTGGTGTCGGTACCGGGCGGCTCCTGCTCCGGTTCGGTGACTCGGGTCCGTCGGGTTAAAGGTTGTTGGGTTTTTTATTGCCGTGTGACCCGGTAAAGCTCCGGTTCTCGGTTCTCGGTTCTCGACAGACGGAGACTCCGGAGCTCGGCAGGTCCCGGTTCCGCTGCGTCCTGTTGATTCAGCGGCTCCGGTTCTGCTCCGGTCCTGGTCCCCGGTCCTGGTCCCCGGTTCTCGGCTGGTTCCGGTCCGTCGTGTGTCGGTTCGGGCTCGTGATGCTCGCGGACTCCAGGTGACCTGATGCTCGCGCGCCGCTCTGTCCTTGGATCGCTGACGCTCGCTCCCTCGTTCCCGCGCGCTCACAGACGGAGGAGAGCAGGCAGGAGCGCGGCCGGCGGAGCGCGGGCACGAGCGTCATGTGTTGATACAAAAATCTCGTTCGTGTGTTCACAGCGCGTGCACGTTCAGTGAGCCCGTTCATTCATTCACTCATCACGTGATCATTAAAAACAGGAGCCTCATCGTCACAGAACCAGAACCTCCGGTGTCCGACAACACAAAGAGACACAACGATGAAGAACGGCTGCACAGACACACAACAGAAGCACAACAGGTCAGAGACACACGGGACAACAGGTGAGCAGGAAGTGACGTCAACACTGATGAAGACAAAGACACCAACAGGAGAACTCTGGAGGATCCAAACGGAACCAGAGGACAGAAGAGCTGCAGGTGCTTCAGTCAGACAGGTGCCGACAGACCACGCCCCCGTCTGTTAGACCACGCCCCCGCTGGGTAGACCACGCCCCCAGACACACACTGAGAGGCCATGATGAGAAAACAGACAAATGAGCAGAAACACACAAAACATCTGCAAAGCAGCAGCAGAGCGACCAGGAGGCGCCGAGTGAGCAGAACGGGACCGAGTTCAGACCCAAACAAACCCGGTGAGCAGGACGATGAGGAGACACGAAGCAGCAGATCATCAGCAGAACGTTGAGGAGCTAAGAACAGCACCAGAACTTCACCTGGTCGATTCAAACACCATCAAACTGGCTTCATGCCTGGTGTCCAAAGGCAGGTTGTTGATGTGGACGTTGTTTACATTTTTCATTATTTTCTCAGGACAGTGTGGAGACGAGTGGGGAGGACCTGCAGCGAAGGTCACGACCCTCAACGTCAGGA